AAATCCTGCGGTGGTATGATCCTTCCAATTTTGATTAGGTTTGTGTCTTGCTATATAGTTGGTTTTTACGATCTTCGTCTTTGTGTTTGGTAAAATCACTGTAACCAGAAACACCAAATGAAACGGTTTTCTTGCCATCAATAACTGCGTCGTATTTCTTACCTTTCTTATTAGATGGTTGAATAGCTATATTTGCCTTGCAGGTAGACTTGGCATCATCTCGTATTTACTATTCTTATAATTGTATTTGGGTATGTCTATAGGTTCTACCTTGGGAATATCTTCTAACATGAATACTAGTTAGAAATTATATGATTCAAATATATATGATAAGTATTTAGAAGTAATAAATGAGATAGAGAAATTTGATGAAATAAGAAAAAAATCAAAGATATTGAATGTGTTGTCATAATTTGTTGGAATTTCTTAAGGCAGCCTGCTATTATATTAAAAACGTTAAAAACTGTAAATAATATAAACGAGTGATAAAAGTGATGAATGCAATAAGAAGAAAGGTTTTTTTATCAATTCTAAAGGGTGTATCTTGTATCCCTTGTAGGTGCAAAAAAAATCTTATCATAAGGAAACAAAAACGGTCAAAGAAATTAACATAATAACAACTAACATTGTGGAAGACAGGCATAATATCAAAATTTGGAGCAACAGGACGACATGTATCACCCGATAAAAACGGCATATTTAGAAACGATAATCAAATGGGAAGCGTTGAGATATGCGATACTGGTTTTGGAACTCATGGTATAACACCCGAGGAATGCGAACAGAGAATAGAAATGACCGAGACAGACATTGAATGTATTAAGAAAGACATAGAACGATTGGAATTTGAGATTAAAAAATTGAAATTTAGAATTGAGAAGGAAATTGTATACTAATATAAATATGGATTCTTTGTTTCCTAAGAAAGAAAACCAAGAAAGTAAAACGGATTGGCTAGCCGAAAGAAGAAATACTAGAATGTATATTGCTAGATTAAGTGCGGCTTTAGACGAGCTAGAGGATTACTACCATTATGAAAAATATGAGAAATGATTTAAGTTGTTGTTTGAATTTATCAGTTGGAAGCATTGTTAAAATAGTCTAAAGACTTGTTATGTATATGTTAAGACAGCGTCCCTACATGCCAGAGCCCCGCGGTAGGCCTTTTGTCCGTAAGCGCGCCATAAGAGCGTGGTAATGGTTAATTAGTTTGAAACAGTGTTTATCATAATTAATGCTTATGATAAATATTGTATAAAATAATATAATATGACAATATATGTTGATAAGATGACCATGGATTTTAATAGTGATTTACATCCTACCCATTGTGAAAGGCAATGTGTTAGATGTAAAGAATGGAAGAATTTAGTGCATTTCAAAAGATGTTATTCTTGTAAAACAGGTAGGTATTCAATGCAGTATAGAACCACGGTTACTTGTTGTGAATGTTTAGATAGTATGAAAGCATACAATGTTAAACGCAAAAATGACTTAAAAGGATAGTGTCTTTTATATATAACATAGAAGGTTCAAAAATCAAATGCTCAAGGGGTCACAGTAAAAAGACAGTTGAAGAATTCGGATACAGCAAGAATAACAAATTATTTGCAAATTGTATTCAATGCAGAGAGAAGAGGAAAGAGTATAGTCGTAAATACAAAAAGCCAGACGACAAGCCGTCAGAAATTGTTATTGTGTTTAACCATACACGACAATTATTGCTTAATGATGAACTTCTTGAGAATTATTTTCTGATATTCAACAAGCAGGATAATAAGGTGATAATTGAAATTCCTATGAAAAATGAGGTAAAGAATATCGGCAGTAAGCAACCAGAGCATACCAGAGCAAACCAGCGAAACAACTTCGTTCTCTAAACTATATCGGGTAATGCATTCATAAGTATAATATAAACATACTGTATAAGAGGCATTGCACTATGAGTATATCACGATTATAACCTTTGAAACTAGCCCTAGTAAAATCTATGAGAGAACCATTGCCCACTTTGGGATGATAATACCNNCCTTAGGGAATATGGATGGGGTAATAGGTTATTCCTATACTGGTCTTGGTAATGGGGAAGTAGTGGTGATATATTGGGTGGGGTGTAGGGGGGAGTATAGGAATAATCCTCTTATATGGATGAGGTAATCGGTTATTCCTATACTTGTATTGGTAATGGGGAAGTAGTAATGATATGGTTGGTGAGATGTAGGGGGGAGTACAGAATAATCGTCTAATGGGTTGACTGGTGGTAATATTACCCAAAATGGGCAAGGGTTCTGCTAACTTAAAGGTGGTTATACAGGGTTATATAATGGTTATTTGTGGTTTCAGTGTTTTTTATTTAGGGTTTAGGGTTTAGGGTATCTTGGGAACTCTGGCGTTTCCCTAAATCAGGGGTACCTTTTCGGGCGGTCCTTGTAACAAGAACTATCTATGGAGAGTGTCCTCTACGGATATGTGCAGATCACTAAGGTATTACGGATATCCATTTCCGAGGTTTTGTGGGATAGAGACCCGATACCTTAAACCCCTGTCTGCCCCTTGGCAGTTTCCAATGGGACTACGCCCTGTTAAAGGCCCTTTCAGAATTTCACCATGCAGTAGTGTCTTTTTTCGCAGTCCCGGCTGGGATCCATACTGAGGGGGATCCCTCCACGCACGTGCACCCTTACAATGAGATAGCAGCTCTGATAAACCGCAGGCTCCAGACTCAGCCAGCTCTAGAATTCTTTTAGGGGTGTCAAGAATAAAAATGTGTCTCAACAAAATTGAAGTCGGTCTCTTTCGGTCTCCTTCACCTGTCTGGGCCGGGGGTTCGGCTGAGCCACACTGCGCTGCTGGGGCCATGCTCATCATTCAGGGTCCCACTATCCCTATATACACCCTTCAGAACTTCATAACCCTAATATACTATATAGCAGTTTCCATTTTCTTTTCCATTGTCCCTATTATAATCCCTATTAAACCCTCAACCATTTTAGGGTCTAATAGCCCATAGTGGTCATGCTGTTCGCTCCAGGCCTGGGCTTCTTTTAGTCAACATGTCACAAGGGAAGGTTTTACCCACTGTATAGGGCCAGAGAGTGTCATGTCATGGGCACTCGGGCAGTTAAGCTCTCCTTTGCTTGTAAGTCCCAACCCTTTTTCTTGAGATCTTACTTGTCTTGGTCACAGCGAAACCAAAAAAGGAACCACTTTGGGGGTTCCTGGGCCAGCCGCGGCGGAGGTCACAAGCCCAATCGCCAGACCATAGTCCCCAGCTCAGGCAGGGCCTTTGGGGTTTTGAAACAGGAAGCCATGTTGGTTGAACTGGGAGTTTTTTGTCAATGGGGACTCCCTGTAGTAAGGGCTATCGTAGATGGGGTCTATATCATGTCTATAGAAACCACCAGAAGCAGTTGTAGAAGTGATTTTTGCTGCTCTTCTCGGAAGAACAAAGAGAACTGGTAGTACAGTAGTGCTCGGGACGCAGCCTCAATTATAAATGTGATAGTAAGAGCTACAATCAGCCCTTTCAGGCGCGCTCTCCTTTATGGCCTCCGTGCAGATCAAAGACCTGCGTCGGGCCTAAACAAGATTCTGAGAAGTGTAACGTTGCGTAATGGCCACCGCCACCGCCACCCGCCGCCCCCTCCGACAACCGTCGCCACCACCAGCAGCACCACCACCACCAGCACCACCAGCACCACCACCGCCACCAGCGCCACCACCGCCACCACTGCCGCC